TATTTAAAATATCTAAATAAAAAAGATAAATTTGAGAAGTCTACCAAAGTTTTCTTTGTGTTAAATGAAAAGTATTGCCTGGGGATATAGCTCGGCGGTAAAGGACTTGCCTACCTAGGTTCAATCCCAAACCCTGCCAAAAAATAATAAATAAAATAAAAGGGATTCTGCTGGTAGACACCTGTAATCCCAGCATTCTGGGAGGCTGAGCCAGGGGATCACAAATTCAATTCCTGCTTGGGCAAGTTTGCAAATTATGGAGATCTTGTCACAAAATTAAAACATTAATAAGGGTTGGGGATACAGCTCAATGTGAAAACCCTGAATTCAATCTCAATACCAATAAATACATACACACATACATACTCATATATACACCCAGATCTACAAGTGTGCTCTTTAAAATTCCAGCATGCCCACTATCCAGTGAACTTATTATCTCGTTCATTTCAACTCTGGATCACAGTTTACAGACTTATTACTAGAAAGTCTTTCCCTTACTCACTTTAACTCATCTAGTGTATGCATATTTATGTTTTCTATTTAATAACTTATTTGAGTACCTTGTACAGAATGGACTTAGGCTAAGAGCAGAGAAACAACTGCTTAATGAAAAACTGTTATCTTCCATCAAGAGTTTAAAAATCTAAGTTCAGCCAGGAATGGTGGTACATGCCTGTAATCCCAGCACTCAGAAGGTTGAGGCAGGAGGACTGTCATGAGTTCGAGGCCAGCCTGGGCTGCATAGTGAGTTCATGGATAGCCTGAACTACACAGCAAGACCCTGTCTCACAAAATTAAAAAAAAAAAAAAATGTAAACTCAGCAACACCAAGAGATTAATGGTAGATTAGTTGTTCTCAACCCCAACTAATTGGAATCACCTGGAGTGTTCTTTAAATACCTTCCACAACCCACTCCACACCCATATGATGATAATCTTGGTAAAAGAGACCCAGGCATTTGTATTGTTTAAAATGTTAGAGGTAATACTCAGGCAGACATGAAAGGCCCCACAGGTTACAGTTCAATTATCCATTCACCTGTGACATGTAATTTTGATGATAAATTTAACTAATTACTCAGTGATCCCCACCTAACAAGTTACATAAGAAGACAATTACCTTTCCACTAACTACTTTGCTAAATTGGATTTAGAGTCAGGGACACTGATAAAGTACCAGGATTCAAAGATAAGGGATCCCAGAATTCTCTCTGCTCAGTCAACTTGCTCTCCCCCACCATGGAGTTTATCAAATGGGAGCAGAAACCTTCAAGTCCTCCATTTCAGAACATAATTAAAGCTGCCCCAAATGCTCCCTCTGCTTTTTCAGCATCTCACTTTCTTCTGCCCTTATCTGATGTTGATTCAGCTGGTTCCCAACATTCCACAAATACCAGTTGTCTTTGCTTATTCTCAGTAGATGATAGTTACTTCTGGGATGCCGAACACAAAATCCAGAATGCCCACCTTAGGCCTCACTCACCCTCAACTTTAGAAACTTCAGTCTTGAAACCTGCCTTTCTCCTATCTAAACTAGTTAAGACTACAGAAGAAACAACTTATATTGATGGTTCTGCCACACTTGTTTTCATTACAGCACTCTCCACCTGGATGTCTATGAGATCCTTCCCATTTTTCCATTTGTAATTAGGCCAAGAACTGTACTTTATAGCTTCTTTCTAAACCTTGCAATATTTTCCTCAGAAATTAGACTTCTCCCCAAAACATGTACACCTGCATTATAAAAGAATCAGTCAACAAGCCCTTGTAGATGCCCCATGGCTATACTGCTCTCTGGGGATGTAGCTCAGTGGTATAGCACTTGCCTGGCATACATGAGGTCCTGCCTGGGTTCCATCCCATGTACCACAAAAGAAAAAAATGCTGTCTTTAGGTTGATATATTACTGTAGCAGTTATTATGGAAGCTGTCTTTTCAAAATGTGGTGGATTAACTAAGGGTCAACTTGGAACGCCCAGCTGAACTGAATCAGCATGGTCTGGACATATCCACCCGAGCATTGTTGTCAACAGCATAAAGAGACCTGGAGGGGAAAATCAATCGTGGGCAGTTGATTTTCTAGGAGAAGCTTGCTGTGGATGGTTTTCCTGATGTGAACTTGACTGTTCTTGTTGGAAGAGGAGCTCAGGTCTTCACTATCATTAGGAATGGTTGGTTGTTCTGGTGAGGAGAGCTCTGATCTTCACAGTGAGTGTCACTTCCTAGCTCCAGCGTAGATACCTCAGCCTGGCGGCACAAATCCTTCACCCTACCAGTGCACATTTTCTGGCTTCCACCACTAGCCTCTGAACCTTCTAGATGCAGATCCTCAATATGGATAAGCATAAGACATTGCTATGGGCTCTAGGCCACTAGCTAGGCTCATGAGGACTTTGCCTTAGACTGTAGGCCTTCAGTTGAACTTATGCAGGACATTGCTGTGGGACCCAGGCCCTCAGCTGGATTCTTCAAGTCTCTAGTGCATGGACAGGTCTCTTGCACTCCCCTGCATTTGACTTCTTGGGAAAATATCATAAAATAATCCTATAAATTGTGTCCTGTATTAAATCTATTCCCTTGCAAACCTCTACTACAACACAAAAGAAACTCTAAAATTTAAGACGGGTAAATTCTAACACATAGTAACATAGGCAATGGAGTTAATGGCCTATAGCAAGGGCCTAAAGACAGTTGCTGGGTTCAAATCCCTTTCCACAATTTACTAGTCGTGTCTTTCTGTCTTTTTTTCCCCAATCTGTAAAATGGGAAATCTGTCTTCTGAGGTTGATGTGAGAGTTAAATCATGTATGAAATGTAAAGCTCTTAGCAAAGTACCCTCATGGAGTCAGAATAAGTATAATACAGGTTAGTTGTTGTTATACATTATTACTGAGTACAGTGCTTAACCTGCCCAGGGAAATAAGCCTTCTAAATCTCTTGTCATTGATTTACAGAAAGTGAATTTATTACAAATTGTTTTTCAGATTGAATTTTGACATTTCTGGTCTTTTTCCATTATTTTTAAAACTCAGTGAATAAAAGCAGGAATTTGTCAGAGTATTTCATGACATTTTAGTTCTATTATGAACACCATTTATTAGTTAAGTCTTGTTATGATTAAAATATCTAAAATGAAACTAGGAGAGAGGAATATGGAGAGGGGGGAAAAAATCACTTGCTACTTAAATTGAAATTTTAAAAGCCAAAAATGAGAGGGAAGTTTTGTAAGTTGCAGGTGACCTTTAAATGTCAGATCCACTAATATACAAATGTAAACACCGAAAAATGTAATGCTGGTCATAACAGTAAATTGATCAAAGCAATTACATTATAAGTTATGTGATATAAATTATGCTTCCAGTCCAGAATATCAATTGCTTTTTAAACACCTTTTAAGATCAAATTACAATGCACTAAAAAAACTCACCTAGTTTCATGTTATTTAGAAGCTTATAGTTTACCACCATGCTTGCACAGCATAGCCCTGTACTGCTAAACATACAAGATTTGAGAGAATTATTTTTAATAATGAGGTAAAATTAAATTTATGATCTCAGTAAGACAATCCTTTAATGAGAGCTACTTTAATAGTTATTAAGTGGGATAATGTTACTACTAACTTTAACCCACTTCCAGGAGTTAGTGAAATATGATTTCAAAGATAATTGTTACTTGTTGAAATCTCACTTTTTAACTGAATTATGTGTGACAGACAACACATAACATAATAGTGTAATAATGGCGAAAAACCCACTTTGGGTAGATTCTCATATTGCTTTATAGGACACTTGAAATCTTTTCCCTCCAGTCTCAATTCTATGGATAAAGTATTCAGCTTTTGTGATTATAGTCAATATATTCATAGGCCTTCACTATACTGTCCTCCAATTCTCGATTATTCAAAGCAATACATATGTATATATCCAGAATTAATTCTTTTTCTGTACACTAAATAATTCTTCAAGGAAGATGGAAGGTACAAGAATTTCTTAAACTTCTATTCTACATACTTTGAGCAAATTTACTTTTATTTCTTGTGTAACCTATATGCCATTAGTGGAAATTAAAATTACAACTTTTCCCTCACTAGATGGGCCAATTCATTATTTCTATTTTTTCCAAAGGATGAGAACAAATAGAACCACTGGCCTCTAAAGCAAGAGTTTGTGACTGGCCCTGTTTCAGCAGGATCAGGGCCATATAAAATAGTCCATGTGAGAATTCAAAACATGACACGGTGCGTTCCAAAGCTTTCACTTACAGGTCTCACTGAGGAAGAAAGACACAGAGGACGTGTAGATGTTCCTCAACCCCTACATGAGTTCTAGTGTCCAGCTAGAGTTTCTGGACACTTATTATACTTTTTATTTAAATTGTCACTTATTTTCACTTGTTCCTGATCCCAAGGACAGGACTTGGCCACCTCAGTATCAGTAGTGGCTCTGAAACAGATGCAATCCTGGAGTGTCTAATGTATAGACATTCGTGGCCACAAGCGTGGCTCGGAACTGAACACGCTCTACCTGTGGACTGGGATGGTGACCGACAGCATCCTGCTGCTGAGCGGCCGGTCCCTGGGGGACAGTTCTCAGGTGAGACTCCGCAGGCCCCAAAAGCCACAGCTTTCTGACGGGTGTCATCTGCACCATCCACTTCCTCACTCAGAGGAGCTCAAACCTAGGTGCGCAGCAGTTTGGGAAGTTCCCGCAGAGGAGTTCTGAGTCTCTCGGCTCCCCGCCCGGGCTCCCGAGTCCCAGAGTCCAGGGAGAGGCGCGGGCTCCGCCAGACCTGGCTGGGACTCAGCAGCCCTCAGGGACCGCGACGTTGTCCCCACCACCTCGGCTGCCCCGCGCCAGGCCCGGGGCGCCCGGGGCGCCAATCGTTCGCACCCGCGACGCCCGGGTCTGGCGCTGGAGCCGGGCAGGTGCGCGGCGCCGATCTCAGGCCGCCCCGTCCCCTTCCAGTCCCCGTTCCCGCGCCCGTCCCGCCCGGCCCACCTTCTCCCGGGCCTTCAGGTACCGCGCCAGCGCCTGCTGGGTTAGCTCCCGGACGCGCAGCTGGCCCTGCTTGCAGGGCACCACGATGCCGGTCCCGCCGAAGCACACGGTCACCTTCATCCCGGCCGCGGAGTGGGACCGCCGGCTCGGCGCCCGGCCCGGCCCGGCTAGGAGACAGCGCGGGGCGGCCCCAGGCCCGGCGGCAGGAGGCGCGGCGCGGGGCGGACCGGGCCCGGCGGCAGGGGGCGCGCGCCCGGTCGAGGAAACTTCGCGGCGCCAACTCCGCCCGGCCGCTCTTAAAGGGGCCGCGGCCGGGGAGACGCGCGGGGCAATGCATTGAGCCCGGGGCAGCCCATGCCAGGCCCTTTCCCGGCTGCACACATCCATTGTAACCGGACCTAAGACCTGCCACCACCTAGGACGGAAACCGGATCTCGTAAGGCAGACTTGAGGAGCCCCTTTGGAGCCTGAAGAGCTACTTTCCAACCGGGGCACTGGAGCGAGGTTCAGGGAGAGCCTGGGAGCAGGTGCTTCTAGCGCCCACCCGGGAACCCTCAGGAGCAGCGGCCTGAGGGGGCCTGAGGGGGCCCTCAGCTTCCAGTTGGGAGCCTGAGGGTGACCTGCCAGTGGAGCTGTGCCGGTGGGGGCCAGGACACAGGGCCTCCACCAAGAGCATGCCAACGGCCCAAAAGGACTTCATGTGTTTGTACAGCTCTTTGAAATGTGACCGGAAAAAAAATATAAACACCTGTAGGTTCAGGATTCGAGATGTATATCCCTCACCCACTGAACTTAGAGCATTTGGACAAAACATGGACAAACATTTGTGTCCTTCATAGAATTTGTGACCTTGGTTCCCACATAAATGAACGCCTTTGAACTATACGGTAAGTTATTATTTTTCCCACTTTATGCTCAAAGAATAGTACTCAAAGAAGTTGAAGGACCAAAAAGACCATGGAGTTGGTGTGTTGAAAAGAACTCAGGTCTTCCCAACTAAATCTTAGATCTCTCCTAACAGTTTTCTTAGCAATCCAGTTCATCCAAGATACTCAGGATTTTCGCCCATGACAAGACACACCTACATCGAATCTGAATTGCCTAGAGAGTATAACGCACAGATCAAATTAATTGGTTTTGAGTTTTTATCAATTTTAGCTTATTTATACATTTAATAACTATGTATTGGTTGTCTGAGGCCAAGAGTAAATGAGCAACTTGCTTGAGATCTCATTCTTAGAAAGTGGCAGGGCCTGTTTATAACCCAGGCAGTCTGACTCTAGAGCTGGTCTTCACAGAAACCCCTCTGCAGGTCTCCCATGGGAAGTACTAAATGAGTGTATCAAACACACGAATAAATAGTAAGGTCATGCATTAACCTGACTGTCACTACTGGGTATCACATGGACATGTAGGTATAGTGCAGCAGGAGGCAGGAGGGTTGGGGGAGCCTCTCCCTTCTGTTCATCTGTGGACATGGCACCACCATAGAGACTGTGCTTGGGCTAGGAAGTCACAGTGCCTGAGATGGTGAATCATCAACGGCAGTGAGAGATGGAATGGGAGGCACCTGGATTAGGCCTGTCTGACACTTTAAATACTGGAAGCCTGAGTTGTCCAGGGTTCCTCTGCCTTCCTTTTCTCTTTGCCCTTCTGCCTGCTCCTGCTGCTGCCATCCCATGATCGTCCCGTGAGCCATCCCATGATCATCCCGTGATCTTCAATAAACATAGCTACTTACTACTTATGATGAGGAGTACGCTTGGCACATCTTTCCTTGTCATGCACAAGAACCTGGACTATTTTTGGCCTATTCAAGTGTAACAAGAAGGTGCTGAGCGAAGATTTCCAGCTGATGAAGTGACTGCTTGTTGCCCTCCTTCATGTTTTGGCTTCCTTTTTCTTCGGTTTCTGGACCCCTTTTCTGCACAGGCCATGAATAACTCCTGCTCCTCCTCCCACCACAAATAATTTCTCGCCCAGCTGAAGCCCCTCCCCAATTCCTAGACCTCTGTTCAATGTTCCAGCTTTGAGAATCCCGGATGGAACTGGAAGAACAGCCTGGCTCACCCAGTCTCACTGCCAGGAAGACTGGAATGGGATTGGAATGTTCTTAGAGGACATAGCAGAGGCCAGGACATTGTGAGATGAGGAAACAATAATGCTAGATGTTGATGTGAACAGTGTACCATGCAGTGAACTTTTATGACCCCAAGTTAGTAACTATGAAATGAATTAGTTTATATTTCATGTTTATCAAATAGCCAGGTTTAATTTGTTATTCAGCCTCATCACAGCATAAATAACACAAATATGGAAACAATTTATTGTACATTAAGAAGTGATATAAAAGAATACAGTTGCAACACAGTCATTCATGCCCAGCAAATTCCTCAATCAATATCTCATGCCCTATGGGACTTCCTGGGCAGAAGACAATGAATAATTTGCCTCAATTGAGTAACACTAGAGTATTCTAGCCCTAGGTTCTCTTTTCTTGTTGTGCCTGTTGGATGGATAAACATTGCCTGTGATGTGATATTTTTCCATTTGTTATCCAACAGCTTAGCAAGCAATAATGCTAACCAATATTATTAAACTGCCCTACTTTGTAGAAAATACAACTGAAGTATCAGGTATCATTAGGTGTATAATGAACAAAGAATGGTAATTTTTAATTTATGGTAAATTTTTAATTTACTCTGACTGGTAATCTGATGTTTGTACAATTAAAATAGAAAACAATTTTAGCTTTCAAGAAATTTTTTATAACATGCACTATTTTTCACTAAAAATAAATTGAACTAGAAATCATCTTAATTCTAAAACCCTTGGAATAATTGATATAATAGAGTAAAATTAGTAAACTGTAATACAGATAAATAGTATAATCACATCCTCACCTTTTTTTCTTAAAGTAGGAAACAGAGTACTCTTATTTTTTGTTAGTATGTTTGCAATATGTAATGATTTACATTCCTTATGGAGAGTTGGTATGTGTACATAATACATCTTAATTGTTTTCATCTCTTTCCCCTCCTCTTTCTCCCCTCTCTCATTTTCTCTTAATCTCTTTCCAATTGAGAAAGGACTATCTCCCTTCTTCCTATTAACTATCTTTTACTTTGCTCTTTATTTATATTTTGGGTTTCTCACATAAGAGAAATCATGATAAACTTACATGTCTGATTTATTTCACTGAATCTATGGTCTCAACATGCATCCATTTTCTTACAGATGACTCAAATTTATCATTCTTTATGGCAGAATAGTACTCCATGGTGTATAAATACCACATTTTCTTTATCATATAGGCTGCTGCCAAGATTTAGTTATTATGAGTTTTGCTTCTATAAACATGGATATGCGTGGGTCACTGTAAAATGATTAACTTTTGGGGGAAGATATCTGAAGTGGAATAGCTAGGTCATCTGGAATTAGAGGAAAACCAACAAACCTCCTCAAACGATGCTGCTTGGCCATTCCTCCTCATGACACAAATGCCCTCCCTCAACTTCCTTTCTTCAGGAGGACCTGAAATGTGAAGTGAGCGTCTTTAAAAAAATTAAACCAACCAAAAGAAAAGAGTAGTTCTGATGATGCTATATTGTGAGTTGATTATTAGTTACATGTTTCCCCCCATTGTATGAGCAGTTTCAATGAAGTGTACTAGGACCCATGAGTGCTGACTACTAGGGACAGGAACTCCACAGGGCAGCTCCCAGTCCTCCTATCATTGGACTTGACGAAAGACTGTTAGGAAGAGGATCATGGACAGTGGTCAGGGATGTTCTCCAAAAAGCTAGTTGTCCAAGGAGAGATCCTACACTGAGGTGAGGGTACAGTGAGAGTTCTCTTTCCAATTCTGCTCACTTTTCTCTAAGGCCTCTTCTGCTGTAAGGCCTCTTCTCTTACGTGGAAAGGAAGTGGACGTGGATGGGTGTTCATGTCATTAACAGGAGGTAGAGAAAGAGTTGAAACCTGGCCTTGAGTGCTTCTGTGTATAAGTGCATTGCAGACACCCGGTAGACTGCAGCTGAATAGACTATGTTCCAAAATACTCTACCACTCGCTAGCTACATGACCTTACAAAAGTGTCACTGTCTTCCTGCATAAAATGGAGTGGTAAACTATTTAAGATATAATAAATATAAAGCACTAGCACAAAGCAGGCAAGATGTATTCCCCTGCTCCACCTTTTATTCTATTTATAGCACTAGCAGTTCTAAATGCTACTTTTTTTCATTGGGCCTAAAACAACTTCCAAAAAGAAGCAATCCAAATGATGTTTAGAAACTATACAGCATAACTATCATTGAAGGTCCCAGGCTCATAGCAAAACTGATAATAATACTTGCACTATACTTTAAAGTCTACTTACTATTTCATTTGATGCTCAAAAAATAATCCTAGAATAATTCTCTAGTCCCCAAGAATTATAAAATTAGAGTGCAGAAAGGACCCTTGAGTTTATTTGGTACAATCTCATTTTATAGAAGAGGAATAGAGAAGTCAAGAGACACAGATCATCCTTGTTCACAATTGAGTGCTTTCTTCACTTCCCTGTCTACCTAGAAATAGAATTTAAAACAGCAGATAGTTGGCCAACATTGGCTTAAGGCTTTGAACTTTCATTGTGTCAAATTGTGGTAAAAAACTCATTCTTCTATTCCTGTACTTTTAAATTACACTTAAGATTCTGAACATTTATTCTCACCACAATTGTAAGTCTCAAAGTGTTTTTCTGAGTGTTACAATACTATTACAGAAAATGGGAAATTATGAATGGATTAGAAGCAGAGCAGTAACACAATCAGATTGTGCTTGGTGGAACGCAGAGGACCTAGGAGACAGACAAAAGCCCTTGCTTAGTTCATTCAATTTAACCTTCCATTCATTCTTTTATTCAACTCATTTTTTTGGTACCTATAATGTACTGAACTCAAAGTGATTATGAAGCTCAAACTCTAGTGATAAAGACAGATAATAAATGGCTAACCAAATGAACAATGTATTTGCAGGTTGTGACAAAGTGTAATGAAAGGTATAAATAGGCTGTGTAATAGACAGTCATGGAGTAAGAAAGCACCTACCTGTTTAAATTAGATGAATGAAAGGGGGAAAGTAACATTGAGAAGAACACAGAGAAAAAGCAAATGTAAATATTCCTGAGACAAGACCAATACTGGTGTATTTTAGGAGTT